TATATATTGGTCGATATAGCAATATATACTGGCCGATACTTAATACATTGCCTATAAGAGCAACATTTAAAGATAATTTAGATATAAGTTCCTTGATTTTAGATCTCCAATAATTCTGTATTATTCCCTCAAACTTTTGAAATTGCTTACAATTTAAGGGACTAATATTGAATTATTAAAAATTTGAGGGACATGAATATAAACAAGCCATATTTAAAAAGAGTGTTTTTTAATACTCTCCCTACTATAAGGATTGTCTCAAAAACACCCACTCATTGATTTAATTCGACAAAATACCCTAACTATGAGGGTGTTGGTGATAACCCCTCTTAACTTTGGTGCGACTTTAGAAAACACCACTCTATAGCATGTCTCATAAAAACTCTCATGATCTTTTACACTCCTCTCAACAAAATCCCTTAATGTATTACTTGAATATGTGATTTTGAGAAAATACCCTCTTGAAGAAAGCTATTTTAGTTAAAAAGAAACTCTCAACCAATAATAAAAGGACCACGACCAATTTATAATTATTTTCCCTCTATATCTCCTCTTTTTCTTTAATCTAGCAAAAATCAAGCTAATTCTTTTATGGTTGAGGGATATTTTGGTCTTTCCAAGTCAAATACTTGTCATATAATAGATTAGAATCAATAAATATTAGTTTTGAGCGGTTAAGTGAGAAAAGTTTATAGGGTTAAATTGAAAATTTGAAGTTGAGATAGATTATCTACAAGACCTCAAATTTGATGAAGATTTACTCAGTTTCAAGTTAACAATTTTCGTGGCCAAAGGTCCGGGTTTGAGGTTTACCACCCATGACCCTTAAGTGTCCTACTAACCTAGTGACTAGATGGGGTAGGGTGCCAGTTCACCTAGGGTTTACTGGGAAGAGTGGGGGACTCAAACTCGGGCCTTGGTTTGAAGATCCATTTGATTTACCAGGTTTCCCTCGTATCCAAAAAAATAGCTAAGGAGGGCTTTTTGACATTGCCCCACATAGCTAAGAGGGAGTTTTTTAAAGTTAACTCTCAAACAAAGCGCAATTTAAGGCACATGTGACATCAATCTTATAAAAGTGGATTTTTTAGCAAGTATATTACTCTATGAACTCATTTGGGTTATGTGTCCTAAGATTTATACTATACATCAACTTTAAAAAAAAATTGCTACAAAAATCTTTAAGAGAAATTTAATCTTTATTTGCGAAGGGTATATGATCCTTTTGATTCCCTTTGTCTTTCATGATTTGTAATAACCTGTTTGACAAAATAAATTAAATTGTTTATTTTATAGTTCTTACTTTCTTATAAGTTTATGAAGCACATAACTTGGGTATGAGTATTGTTGCGGATATTAGATTCTTCTAACTCCTTAAGCTAAATTTTTGGATGTTTTTTGACATTGGATAGATCTGAATTATTTGTTAAAATACAATCTATAGTGCATAATATGTATAAATCATTCTCATATTATATTTTATAATTTTCTGAAACTAGAGAGTAATCGTTTTGACAAAGCAATTAATTAGTTGGGAAGATGTAGAAAGACTACAATATCAGATTTTATAATTGATCATATAATTTATGTTCTCTTTCTTGATTGAATTTGCACATTCTGACAAAGAAAATTCTAGAATTTTTTTTTGAATATCTATAAAACTTGGTCGCCGGATAAACAACAGGTGGAAATAAACAACAAGTGAAAGTGATTTCTTTATAGTTAAACAAAATCCTATATGACGGGATAAAACCTATTGTTTTACCTTGATGAATTCAAGAATTTTATTTTTATCATTAATAATAATAGTTTTTTTATACTAGTCCCTTACATCATTAATATTTTGAAATTAGATCTTCAAGTCATTAAATTTCTCTTAAGTCATTAATGTTTTAAGACTTTTCTTGCAGAAGGCAAAATGTTAAAATCAACAAGAGATTATACATGCAAATATCCAAAAAAATTTAATATATTATCATAATCATAAACTTTTTTGCAACCATGTTATAGTAAGTAAATAAACTTAGAATAAATAATTAAGAATATTTGATCACGTGCAATGCACGTGCATTCCACCTATTTTGTACTGTAAGACTGAGTTTATGATCAGGTTGTTAGCTCGAATTATGAGCCTCAGCTATGCTCTAGTTATGCTCAGGTTTTGAACTCATATTATGGCAATGTTTTTAGCTCATTTCATGCCCCAAACATGGGCAGTTATGCTCTATTTATGATCAAAATTTGAGCTCATTATGAGTATTTTTTAGCTCAGTTCATGCTTATAACTTGCTCACTTATGCTCTGTTTATGATTAGGTTTTGAGCTCATTCAGAAGATGAGCAGTTTTTAGCACAAAATTTGAGTAGTTTTCACCTAAAAATTTGGTCAGTTTTCATCTTCAGTTTGAGCTCAAATTATGAGCAGTTTCAGCTCAGTGTGCGCTTATTACATGATCATTTATGCTCTGCTTATAATCAGGTTATGCTACTATTATAAATGCTTACTAAATTGATTTCCTTATCTCAAATTCATGCATATAAGTAGTATGACTCATGATTGGTCTTTATTATCTGTGTGCAGGTTATCAACTTGCAAATGCAAGACTTTTTTTCCATATGTATTCTCATGAGACATGATGCTATGATGGATGGATAAGTTATAAAGATAGTAATCTACAAACATTGGTGTGTATTGATATGACTATCTTTCAAACTTTGGTTCCTTATCTGAGCATGCAAATTGGACTTTGTTATCTCTATGAAGAGAAAAGACCCTGGATACACTATGATTTTCACATGACATCGGCGTGTATTGATATGGCTATCTTTCAAACTATGATTTTTTTTAGATGAGACAACCATTATGTGTATGCAATCTATAATGCAATTATAATATTTAGGTGAGACATTGTATACTGATATTATGACCTTAACCACTCATAGTCTATTATTAGCAATCATGAAAATTTTATTTCATATCTCAATACATTTTGCAACTACATTGCATACTTTTAGAGATAAAGACGAGTACAAAAGTTAAAACTAAAACAATGCACTCATATTCCAAACGATTAGTTGATGCTCCACTGATTTCAATTCTCTCTTTAGTTTTTCTATTTTCATTGCCTTTTTATCTTCAAGAATGTCTTCACTTTGTGATACTTGATTTTTGTTTCTACAATCATCCTCTTTGTGAGCCCATTGAAAGAAGTTACATTCTTTATTTGGGAACTTAGCACAACCACAATGATATCTCCCTTTTTCCCCCATTTGCACATAAACTTCATGGGTGTTGGAAGCTTACATTTGCACTTCATTTCATATGTGTCAATTGCTTGTTTGCTATCAGATTTCATCTCCATCTTTATTGCAGTAGCTGTTTTCTACTCTGGTGAGTAGTATCCTGCCAAAAATAAAAAAAGGGAAGTAAATTGACTTGTATTGGTCTGCTGCTAACAAATTTATATAGGCTTTCAGCTCTACGAGCGTTTGCAATGACAAAATAGCTGTTTTTTCTGTTGGCTTCAGTTTTGTAATGGTAAGGTTACCTCAACATCTAAAATTGTAATCTTTTGTGTTTGGGGCTAGTAATTCTACCCTCAGGTATGTTCATTCAAACTTTTTTTGATTCTTTCCTATTCTATGGTTTTGAAACAAACACAAGTTTTAATTTACCGATATATCCTAAAAATTTGTGGAATAATTTTTTTTTTATTGGGCGGATCCAATTTCCATAAATCTTTGAAATGAACCAAACACGGCCTAAGCATATAGGCTCTAGCGTGCAACGGGCTTTAAATGTAATTTCCGGCCAAACCAATTTTGGGCCTTACAATGATCTCATACAAATGGTAGATTCTTGAAAATATACATGAATTAGGTAGGTGCCTGTGGTCCTTCTCCATGTTTTAACTAATTTGTGTTGAACCACATAGATCATTTACTAGTCTAGGCCCAGCCCAATTGTTCCACTACGTCAGAATCCCACCAAACCCTAAACCTAACCTATTGACGCAAAAGTCACAGTCCAAGCCTTATATTGAAATCTCTGAACTATTAGGAATTTTATTATAAATAGCATTATTAAATGTTAGCGTAAATGTCAAAACTAGACTGATTTTTACTTTTTTGCATTATCTGACTTGATAAAGATATTGCGGAAATTGTATATGGATTAAATTATCTAAATGTTATCATGTATGGAGCACATTACGAAAGTAAGCTAATGTCACCAGTCATAATAAGTTGATCTCTAGCAGTGAGAATCTATCTACAATTATAAAGATAGGATTGCGCTTTCTAACGGTGCAGATAATCCTAAACAAATTCCACACTAAAATTCTGCCAAGGTGCAGATAGTATAGGTAACAATATGTAACCAAACGTATGTAACCCTGTAATCTATCTACTATCTTCTGTAATTTGGCAAATCCTAAGATGTTACGCTACTCGGTGCGATATCCCTCTTAGCACTAGGTCGATAACATCTATATCCAACCATAGAAATTATCTTATCGCTTCCAAAATGTCCTACAGCTCCTCATGTGTAACGTTTTATTTTGCAGTCAGGATACCTAAGTGAGATAGATCCATGTAGGTTTTCTCAAATTTACAAAGTTCAGAAGGGTTTACAGACCCCAAAAAGTTAGGGGTGTTTTCTGAAATTTACCCTTCCTTAAAAAAAAGGACATCCCACCATCCAATGCTTGCTGTTCTATCGCAAACAGCAAACAGATCCCACCAACCCCTCTCTCTGCAGGAAGACACAATGTCACCTACCCCTCTTCTGCTCTTCTCTAACAACAGAGAAGCCGCCACTTGTTCTTCCCTCTGTGACCTCTCTCTCTCTTATAAGAAACCCATCTTTTATTTTTTCCTTTCAATTTTCACAAAAATTTCTCTTTTATTCTCTCTGTTTCCATCTCTCTCTCTCTCTCTCTCTCTCTCTCTCTCTCTCTCTCTCTCTCTCTTTA